GCACACAGACACACACCCACGCACGCACATGCATATGGTGTGGAAACACATGCACACAGACACACACCCATGCACGCACATGAATGCATACATATGGTGTGGAAACACATGCACACATACACACACCCACGCACGCACATATATATGGTGTGGAAACACATGCACACACACACACACCCACGCACGCACATGAAAGCATACATATGGTGTGGAAACACATGCACACATACACACACCCACGCACGCACATGCATATGGTGTGGAAACACATGCACACAGACACACACACACGCACGCACATGCATATGGTGTGGAAACACATGCACACATACACACACCCACGCACGCACATGCATATGGTGTGGGAACACATGCACACATACACACACCCACGCACGCACATGCCTGGTCTTAAATATTCTTACACTGGCTCAAACGAATGCTACTTAGCTGATGACCCCAAAGAAGCGACCACCTCTGGTACGGAAAAGGGGCCTTTATATGAGCCCCTTTCCTACTCTAAAATGTGGTCCCTGCCTTTTTACTGTTAAAAAAGTTTTTCTCTCAATCATAGAGAAGTGGGGCTCACAAGGCCAGAGCAGGCTACTCACATAGCCTCATTAGCCAGGATAAGGACTTGATTAAGAGAAGAGGTTTGGTTCAAAATGAGCCAATTAGAGGCCTTCCCTGAGATCCTAGCACAGGTTGGGGCAATTTTCCTAATACGAAAGCAAGGGAATCCAAGGGTTTCAGAACCCACACTCTTTGCAAATAGAAAGGGATTATTTGTAGCATGAGGCCAGGCAGAGCGAGGAGCCAAAGGAAGGGAAGTGGGGGGTGGGGGTGGTATGGGGACGGACGAACCCCATGCTATCCAGGAGTTTCCCATCTCCTGCCAAGGCCTGCATGTCTCAGTGTCCCCTCAAGCTATCTATATCAGAAACTTCATTTTTATAGTTTAAGTTAACTTTGAGGCACATGCTCCTGCCATGTAAAGTCGGATGTGTTACGAAGACAGAGCTGGTAGGTCTAAAGCTTTTCAGTGGGTTTTCATTTGCAAAGTAAAAGCCGTGACTCCAGTCAGACCGGGGCTCAAATATTGACTCCGATGTTTCCAGACCATGCTGATCCTTTAGCTGGTTCTCTCCCTTCCCCAGCTTTTACTTGAGGACCAACAACTGTGTGTTCTCATGAGTGTGTGTCTACTTTGTGTCAGTTGCTGTGATAAAGGTGATGACCAAAAGGGACTTGATGAAGAGAAGGCTTATTTCATTTCACAGTTTATTGTCCAACATCCAAGGAAGTCAGGGCAGGAATGCAGGGCGGGAACCTGGAGGCAGGAACTGAGGCAGAGACCACAAACAAACTCTGCTTGTTGGCTTGCTCCCCATAGTGTTTTTGTCTTACTTTACACACACACACACACACACACACACACACACACACACACACAGACACACATACACCAGGATCAACTCCTCAAAGGTGGCACCACCCACAGTGGACTGGGACCTCCCACATTGATCATTAATCAAGAAAATGCTCTAAAACCTTGCCCACAGGCCAAACCGATGGGGATCCCTTCTCAAATTTAAGGTTCCTCTTTCCAGAAAACCAGAGTTTGTGTCAAGGTAACAAAGATTAACCAGCTCACTGTGTTTTGAAAACCTGTTGAAAAAACAGAGAATAAAATGCCACTTGGCATAGAAGCTCAAGGCATTGTAGTCAGCATGGCCTCAGCAAGTAGTGCCCGCCTCCTTAGCACTACTAAAACGTCACCATGGTAGCAGCCATGAGATAACATGTTCATCTGGCCTTCAGATAGCTGTCATACAGTAGATGGGCACATGGCTGCTATTATTACAGCTACATTCCTAACCTTCCTTTGCAGCTTTTCTGGGGCCTATGAGGTAATTCTGGCTAATGGGCCATGAGCAGGTGAGGCTGGTGACTTCTGGATGGTTCCTGCTTTTATTGCCTGTTTTGACTGGACTGGCTGCGCCCAGAAGCCATGCTACACCCTGAGGCAAAACTTCACTATTCTAATTATTGTGGATGACAGAATACCAAGCCAAACAGGCCCTGAGAAACCCCAGTCTGGAGGCAGCACCTCAGTTCTGGGTTGCTTCTGTGTGGACCGGAAGCCAGAGTTGACGGGCTTAAGTTTCTGTTTCATCTAGGATTTTGTCAGAGCGGCTAGAACTCATATCCTCCTGAATATGTAGTTAGTTCTCTAGGTTTTGTTTATGCTCACTCCTTGTGGAAGGTCTTTGGAGAGGGCAATAACACTAGAGCAAAAGTCTATTTAAAAAATCTAGCTAGGTGGATCTCTGTGAGTTCGAGGCCAGCCTGGTCTACAAAGGGAGTTCCAGGACAGGCTCCAAAGCTACAGAGAAACCCTGTCTCGAAAAAACAAAACAAACAAACAAACAAAAAACAAACAAAAATCTAGCTGAACATAGCAGACAATGAGGACTACTGAGAACTTAAGAATAATGGCAATGGGTTTTTGATCCTACTGCATGTACTGGCTTTGTGGGAGCCTAGGCAGTTTGGATGCTCACCTTACTAGACCTGGATGGAGGTGGGTGGTCCTTGGACTTCCACAGGGCAGGGAACCCTGATTGCTCTTTGGGCTGAAGAGGGAGGGGGACTTGATTGGGGGAGGGGGAGGGAAATGGGAGGTGGTGGCGGGGAGGAGGCAGAAATCTTTAATAAATAAATAAAATAAAAAAATAAAAAAGCTGAAGGTAACCACAGAAATGAGCTCTCATTACCAAGTGATGTCTGACTCCCCCAGACTAAGACAGGAAGTTGTAAATGAACATGGCCTGAGGGGGAGGCAAACTGGGGCATCTGCCATCCATACGGGATTTCTCCTGAAATCACAAACTTTCTAATGTATGAAGCAAAATCACTTAGACTTGGCCAGAAGCCACCATGCGCCTTTCCAGAGTCACAAAGACTCTACAGTTGACCTTTTCTATGCAACAGAAAATCAAAGCCATGAATTGGATTCCAGACCATTTATCAGACTGCTCCTCTCCACTGGGGTCTCTCTGCTCTCTTTCTCCTGCTTCCAAGAGCATGGACAGAGTAGGTCACAATCACTGAGCCTCTCAGTGCTGTCCAGGGGAGCCTCTGGAGGCCTTCACTTCTGCCCCAATACACCCGGCTCCTCTGCTCAGTCTGTGCAGAGGCAAGCGTCCTGCCTATAGCTCTCAGTGTAGGCAGAGGCAAGCATCCTGCCTGCAGTTCCCAGCCTGTGCAAGGGCAGCATCCTGCCTGCAGTTCCCAGCCTGTGCAAGGGCAGCATCCTGCCTGCAGTTCCCAGTCTGGGCAGAGGCAGCATCCTGCCTGCAGTTCCCAGTTGCTTCATTGCCTTCTTCATCAACAGCAAGGCTCTCTGCCAGTAGCCTTTTGCAAGCGAAGGCCATTCACAGGCTGTAGGTCTGCCGGGAACAGGCCTACCCCTACCACCAGCCTCAACTAAAGACAGACAAAGCAGTGTAACAAGGCTTTCATGGCGGGAATGCCCACAGGTCAGACATCCTAGACGCTGAAAACAGTGCCTACAGCCAGCTGGAGGAGTCTCACAAAACTACACCCTGAATCAGCTTCAATCCTCTGAACTTCCTGTTCTTGGAAAATCTGGCCAACAGAGACTACACTTGCCAAGAACTTCAAACACGACCTTTACTTAGTAGCGATTGTTAGAATCCCCCAAATCTTACAAAGTAAAGTCCAAAGTCCTTCCTGTGGTCTTCAGCTTACTAAATGTGGCCGATAGTTTCTCAATAGTCAGCAAATGGCTCGCTTACAACTAGATGGAAGAGAGAGATGTGATGCTAAGGGCTGTTGTAGAAGAAAACATGCCCTCCCCCTTTGGAAACTGTACGTGTGTTTCACAGGCCTGGAGTTTCTGTATCAGCCCAGTGCCCCAGCAGGTGACCCAGACACACTGGCCCTAGAGTGAACTGCAGGGTTGGCTGCGGTCATCCACAGGGTTGGCTTCGTCTTGCCCCGTAACATCACATATTATCTCGAGTCTGCAACCTCGTGCATTGATCTTAGGTTCTGAGTCACACCTACAATTGGTACTTCTGGGGTTGAAATATTGGAAAATGCCTGCTTCAGAATGTTATTCCTGAGTATATATTCCTCTACCAGTTCCTTTTACCTTGCCCTCCTGGCAACTATTCCACCTGCCTGGCATCTAGACCACAGTGAAAGAAAATGAAAGTAGGACTTGCCTTTGAGAATGGGGAAGAAAAATAGATTTTCAGTGATGCCTATAAAGTTAGCATCCCAGACGTGTTGGAGTTACCAGAGTCAAATCATCACTAAACTCAGTCTCTAATCAATTTTATCCAAGATCAAGCAAAAGAAGGAAGGGGAAACTGAGGTATGCTTGGGGGGGGGGTGTCAGGACCACTCCCACAGCATATTTGAATGAACTCCCAAAAGAGGAGTCTCTCTTCCTTCCGCCTGATGATCATTCATGGCCTCCTGGTTCCCCTTGGGACCACCCGAGAGCCCAGGAATCCCATTAAACCTGGATATTTCTTAATTTGGCTTGTTTTGATTTGGCTTGATTGGGATTTTGCATCAGCAGAGAGCTTGCGCTAGGAAAAATTCCTAGCAGCAAGCAGTAGACACCACCCTATGAAACTGCCCTGGAACTCAGGAAGACAGATGAAGGCAAACAGCTCTGCAGCAGGAGGTGGGAAGTGCCAGAGCTCTGCTTCTCTACCGGAAGCACCAACTCCCAGGCTGTTTCTCTGGGGTCAAGTGATGTGGTGTGTGTCTTTGGGCAGAGCGCATCTCTCTTCCCCCTTTGGCCTTCAGCCACCCCCATCACATGTCACTTTGTTTGGTCTCCTTGGTCAGAAGCTATCTGAGTCTGCCTTCCCCAGAGCAACCAGGCTGCTCAGAGCACAGAGACCTGACGAATGAACAGACCTGCAGTGGTGTTTGTAATACGGACAATAAAGACCAACCTTGGATGTGTACGTGTGCCCATCAGATCCACAGACCATCGCTGACTGTGCCACGGGGCAGGGCTTGCACTTAATCAGATTTGAAGGTCCAACCCAGTGTTTGTGAGCCACATTCCCCTTCTTTTGCCTAAGGAAGAAAAAAGGGGATAAGTTAGTCGAAACTCTGTCCTGCCCTTATCAATGCTCACTAGGTTCCCAAAGAACACAGTTATATACACACACTAAAGCAGCCCTAAAGCAGATAAGAGGCCTGAGGGACGCTAGCCAGAACTCCCATTTGTTCCAAGTCATTAAAAGGTACCAGGAGTTTTCTCCAAAGCACGCATTCCATTCAATAGCTGAACCAAGCAAAATGGTAGCCATTAAAACAGTGCAAATCACATATCCACATGGAACAAACATCCCAGTCATCTCAGAAACAGTGAGAGAGAAAGAGCGGTGCAGTCTGCCCCTGTGCCAGGTCAACACATCACAAGCGTCCTGAACAGTTTCCCACAGCCTTACACTCTCCTGGGGCTGCTGGGCCATTTCTGTAGGGGCAACCCATGCCACTGTGTGAGCACTTCACACAGAAATACTCTAAATGTCACCAGAAGACTCTTTCCCAGTTGTGGAAAACCATCTCTGGGTATACGTGAAAGCGATTTCCCTATAGCTTCCATCTTGCCCCTTGGTGAAGACTAGGGTGATGTCATTTCCAACTATTCACATAATCAGAATTCCCTTCCATTCCAGCTCCCGCTTCCACATCTCACCTTGGTTGTAAATGGTAAGTGGCCGGGACTGTGATGGGTGTGTGCAGAGAAAGGACCCCATCTCTGTATCACAGGCCACTGAAAGAGAGGCTCCTGCAGTGCCTGTCGTCCTTTCTCTCTCAGCTAAAGCTGATCTCCATGTAGTTCACTGTGTGACTCGCATGGGCCATGGGCAAATAGCTCTGCACTGCCCATCAACCCGGCACTCAGCAGTGCTCAGGGTTTGTCAAACAAAAACTACTTCTGGTGGCTATTATGAAAACCACAATGTGTTATGGTTTAAATTCAAAATGCCCCAAGGGGCCGATGTACTGGGGGTGTGTTTGTGGGAAATGTCCCACACTAGATGATATTCTGGGGGGCTGTTTTGGGGAAATTCCCCAACAGGCTGATATAAAATACCCCAAACAGAGTTTGTTTGCTAGTTGATGTGTTTTTAGGAAATTATTGGGTCCTGGGGGTCTGATACAACAACATATTAAGCCTTTAAGGGGATTTAAATAGGATGGATTTACAAGAAAGCAGGCAAAACCTATTTGGGTGAAGAAGGATCTCTGGGGAAGAGGCATGTCCTTGGGACTATATGGTCTGATCCCTTGTGTTTGTTTTCTATTTTCTGTCAGTCATGAGCTGAGGCACCAGCGGCCCTTTCTTCCTCCTTCCACGGCCATGATGCTCTGCAACGCTGTGAACTAAAACCTCTCCACACCTAAGCCCAAAATATACAATTTCTCCCTTCAAGTTGCTTTGCTCGGGCGTCTGCTTCTGCAGAAACAACCATAACTAGTGTAAGCTTCAAAACAAGAAGCAATAGAAATGGCAGCTATTATAATTGCTTCCCCAATAGATGGGACCATAAAGAAGGAAGTGACCTTTGCATGGAAGTGTGATAAACCCTTGGGACTTAGATCCAGAGAGCCTTTAACCACAAAGAGCTGGTGAAGCCAGAAGGAAATCTGCTCAGCCAGGTGAAGAAGGACACCCCCTTCGCCAACCTCCCACCCTCTCCCCCACCTTAGTTGTCCATCAGGAATTGAGCTATGGTGATTGAGGTGTGTTGCCCTCTTCCAAATGAGAGGGGGGGGGAACACAGGAAACACTAATTCGGTTCTTATGCCACACCTCAGGCCTTCATCAGTAACTTCAAGGAGGCAGTGGGTGAGGAGAGAGTGTTTGGAGAATTACTGTAGAGCAACATCAAAGGGAATCAGCTGATACCCACAGCACAGCCCCTGGGCCAACAGGGATCCAGGCTGGAGAGAAAACATTTCTGAACCTGTCTGACCAAAGAATCAGAGAAGAAAGTTCTAGGAGGGCAGAGACCACCCAGGATTGACCCTATTTTACTGAAGAGGGAACCGGAGTCGTGGATCTGATCGATGGTGAGGCCTAAGGCCTGCAGAGAGTGTCCAGGGATGAAGCTCTGCCTTGGCCCATGTCTTAGCTTCTTTTCTATTGCTACTGCCACAATACACCATGACCAAGGCAATTTAAAAAAGAAAGAATGTACTTGGGCTTAGGTTTTGTGGTGGTTTGCATGAGAATGCACCCCTCCCCACAGACTCATATGTTTGGATACTTGGTCCCTAGTTGGTGGAATGGTTTGGGAAGGATTAGAAGGTGTAGGAAGAAGTGGGATTTGATTTGAGATTTCCAAAGCCCATGCTTAGTTAGTGCTTGTTCTTGGTCTTCCTCTCTCTCTCTCTCTCTCTCTCTCTCTCTCTTCTCTCCCTCCCTCCCTCCCTCCCTCCCTCCAACTTGCAGACTATAAGCTCTTAGCTGCTACACCAGCATTATGCCTACCTGCTTGCCTTCCTGTTACCATGATACCCACTATGGTGATCATTGGACACCAACATCTAGAAATTGTGGGTTTTCAAATACAGGCATTCTTTTATAAGTTGCCTTGGTCATGGTGTGTGTTGACACCTAGCTAAGACAGACATTGCAGAGGGTTAGAGCTGAGAGCTCTCATCTTGATTCTCAAGCAGGAGGCAGAGAACACAATGGGAATGGTGCTAACCTTTCGAAACCTAAAAGTCTGCCCCCAGTGACACAGCTCCAACAAGCCTACATCTCCAATCCTTTCTAAACAGTTCCACCATCTGAATATTCAAATATGAAGCTATGGGGGCCATTCTTCTCAAACAACTATGGCCCATCTCAGTCCAACCTAGAAGAGTAGCTTTAAAAGTCTTTGAGAACAAACTTATCCTTGCTGTTGGGGTTCTTCCTGCCTCCCCAAAGCTGCCCACATTGAACTGACCTCTCTATCTGGGATGGGCATTTTTCATCATTTGAGTTGATGAATCACAGGGACTTGAGGGCCACTATTATTCTTCAGCAGACATGATTCTCTCAAGGCCTGCTTAAGCCAACTGATGCAAGTAGCAACATGAGACTCACCAGGGCAGAGGAAGGGGCTGTCAGTGAACAGTTCATCTTCGAGCCCACAACCTCCTCACAGCACCTCACATTCATCATCATCCACAGGACACCCTGCCTGTCACTGACAGTGGGGCAGCAAAAACAAGGAGCCGTGCTGACAGGTGGAAGATCTTCTCTTGGGTGAGACCCCAGAAGGCCAAGACAATTCCTGTGCTGAGCTTCCAGAAGGAGCAGTAAAGTCCACAGGGTTTCCCTGGAGTGAGCATGCCCCTGAGTGCTGACGCTGTAGGAGAAAGGAGCCTTGCGGAGTTCAGTCAAAGACTGGGAGGGAAAAGTGAACGCCATGCAGCCCGCCATCAATCTCCAGCTAAGGACAAGCGTTCTCTGTCTCTGAACCTGAACCTCACTAGTAAATTAAGTTCTTTAAGGGAGGCGAGGAGGGGAGGTTGGCTGGTGCCTACTAGAGTTATGGCACCTCATGGATGTTTAAGGTTCCCCTGTCGGGTGGAGATTTTGCCCGTGCCTGTCATGTAGCCATAGGATCACAGAATGTTGGAGCAGCAAGTGCCCTAAAACCAATCTAGATAATGTTTCCTGCACATCTGTGTCCAGTTACCCAACAGTCATGTTTGGTAATGAAGAACCACTTAGTGTGCTCATCCCTGGGGAAGATGATTTCTCTCAGTCTCAGCATTCCATGGTTGCCCAGAGCTCTCTGTGCAGACCTGAAGCCTTGTGATCTTTCCCACGTCCACTTTGGAGTGTTTATTGCTCTTGCTCTTGCTCAGTTTGGCGTAGGCAGCCATGTTAGTGAGGCTTTCTGGGTGCAAGTAAGACATGGGCTCACAGAAAACTTGCTGGTCCCTTGGTTCTTACAATCTTTTCACCCCTGCTCAGCCATGTTCCCCGAGCCTTAGGTGCGGGAGTATTTGGTGGGTGTATTCATTGGTAAATCTACATTTTGGTTGGTTACAGTTTTCTATTATACAGACTAAGCAGGTTTATTTAGGAATATGTGTGTTTATGTGTGTGTAAATATAAATACATATATACATATATACAACAATCAATAAAAAGAGAGGTCATTAATTTGAAAGAGAGTAAAGAGGGAGGTTTGGAGGGAGGAAAGAGAAGAGAGAAATAACTATATTATAATCTCAAAATGAAAAGAAAAATACTTTTAAAAAAACAATTAGATGAGTAACTTTGCCATATAAATGAAGAATTAGAAACATGGAGGGAAAGTGATTTGTGATGTCACACCGGCACATAGCTATTTTCCGGGGGAACCTCAGCAATGATTGGTAAGACTTGAATCTCCTATGGGGATCTGTACTATCATTAGAAGAACTCGGTTACATAAGAACAGCTTCTCCGAGAGCATGTCCCTAGCTCTCTACCTGCAGAGGAGAGGACTTGCCATGCCCAGCGGTGGGTGGTCATGGACCGTGTTTAGGTAGAAACAGTTTAGGCCTTGCCTCAGATGTTGGGGAGACTTTTAGTACAAAGCCTTTATACCATTCCATTTTGCTGCTGGTCCCAAAGACCCGTGAGATGAGGGCAATCCTGGCTGTCACTTATTTCAACCCAGGCAGAAACTCAGTGGAGATGGCATTCAGCCTGTGGTATCTACCCAGAAGCCAAGTCTGGTAAGCTATGTGCCACTAGATGTAAGTCAACGGGCCTGAATTTCCCTGATGCCTGTGTGTAGATTTGATTCCGCCAATCCAGTACAAATCATAAAAAAATAACCAGCTTGGTCCAGGCAAGTGACAAAGAATTCTAACTCAAGTGTTTCAGCGTCTGAGTCAATGAAGAGTGAAATACAATGAAGCACTTTTGATGGAAATGCTATGCCCTGTGTCACAGACGTTCATCAACAGGGGAGACACAGCAATTTGGTCTGGAGTAGTTCCGGTCAGCCTTTCCCTGGCCACTGAGCTGACTCATTTCTGCCTTGCAAGACTGAGGGGCAGCCTCACCT